AGCCTCTGTCAGCCGACAGTCCGCAGGCACAATGTCTCCAATCTTGAACGAGATCATGTCACCGGGGACGAGGTCTGCCGACTCAAGTTCTTTCCATTCACCGGCACGCTTGACCTTGGCCTTGGGCGCGAGCGAGTCCATGAGAGCCTTGACGGCGTTACCAGCGTTGCGCTCCTCATAGAAACCGATGCTCGAGTTGATCAAAAGCAATATCACGATACCCAGGAAATCCTCCCAGTCTGGTGGTTGGCCCTCGCCGTTGGACAAAGCAATAGCTACGAGCGCGGCACCCTCCATGACCCAGGAGAGGGGGTTCCACATGAAACCCAGGAACTATAAGGGCGATGCGTGAGCAATCACGTAAATAGGAACAGGCGAGCAGGGACGAACCTGGAGGAAAGCATTCTGCTCTTCAGCCTCGAGCCTGTTCGGACCGAACAGCTCGAGACGCCTTTGACATTCCTCATTGGTGAGACCATTTTCGTCGCATTGGAGGAGCTTGAACACATCCTCGACGACGATTGTCTCTAGGTCGACTTTTTCCTTGTCGTACAGATCCTCTGCACGAAGCTGGATCTGGGACATATCGACCTTTGCATCTGGACGTAATGTAAATTTTTTTTCTTTCTTTCATGCGCATACAACGGCTGAAATACTCACGGGTGGCTTTTGCCTCTTCATGACCAAAGTCCTTGTACTCCCTTTTCTTCTTCTCTGGTTCAACGGGTGAAGCAGAGTCGTTTTCGGGAGTGGTGGAGCCGGGGACTTTCTCTACGGGAGCTGACATGATGAGGGACCTCTAGGAAGGAGAGGTAGGAGTGGAAGAGGGTAGAAGCACCCTAAGGTGAACTGAGAAAATTCGCTAACGCGACGGATAGCGTGGAAACGAACACCTGGGAGCAAGGAGGAAGGGGGGAAAGAGGATGGAGGCCCGTCAAGGCAGAGCGCGAGGCCTATATAGCGACGCGGACGTGGCGAGGACGGAAACGGGGGACGAGGGCGAGTCCGCCCGATCGATGCCGACGGGCGTTTGCACGTCAATACCGGTCTGCGCTTCGCCGGCATCCCCGGCACTACACTCCCGAGCCCCCGGCCTGCGTTGCTCCTCCGACACGGACACGGCAGTGCACCCGCGTTCACAGCACTTCCGCGACCAACTTGAAGCACGGTGCACCCCGTAGGAACAAGTTCGTTCTGTGGGCTCGAACGCAAGGTCAAAATCAAGACGGCGACTTATTTTCACCTCGGCAGAAAACTTCGAGTCCGCCCGTCACTAAAAACAGCAGGCGCCCTTCTATTTTAGAGCATGTTAGCGCTGCGATACTTACCTTGTCTCCTCTCCTGTCGTGCGACGCGTCTAGCAGAATAGAGCTGATCTACAAGCTCTTTGCAATGCGCTAGAGCGGGAATGCCGCGCGCGTGCCGGGTTCGACGTCGACGAGCGACAGACTCGGACTTGACAACGAGGAAACACGCACCCAAGCGCCAGCCGCACGCGGTGACATCACAGGTCCCATTTCGTTGTTCTGATAAGGGAAGCCAGCTGCCTGATATGGACCGGTGGCGTCCGAGGACTTCGGAACGACTCGCAACGCTCGGACGACATGACTCGCGTTGCTGACCTCGCCCACTCTGATCCTGCAGCGGCTTCAGCATCACATCCTTCTCCCAGGTCATCCCGTGGCTGGCTTCAATACAATTCCTCCCCGGCCGAACAACGCCAGCCTGGGACTGCAGCACCACCCCGGGCCTGACACCGCTTATCCGATGTCCGACTTTTCCGTACATTCACTCCCAGTGAAATGTGGCTCATGGACGTGGCATGAAACGACACGCCCCGTCTACCCTCTAATCTCTCAAGGCGACCTTCTATCTTGTGACTGTTTGTTCGGATTGATTGACCCTGCAAATACGCGTCGAGCTGCCTCATTCCTTCCCAGGTCTGTGGATTGGGGACACCCGTGTTTGATACACAGTAGAAGCCAAGTACGCCCATGCCGAGGAGGAAAGCGAGGAGAGCCAGCAGATGAAGAGGCGCACTGGCAGAGCCGCGGCCAATTCATCGACATCATCCTGTGGACGTGGCCTCCCTCTTATGCTCAATATTCAACATATGCCTCTGCTTGGGCAACTCTGCGAACACGATCAGGCCATAGACCCATCCTCGCGTTCAATATGGCTGCTTCGCGCACGCCCAAGGCCGGGGGTCGTCAGCTTCAACTGGACACGCGCGAGGCCGCCGGCGCCAAAGGCCGCAGCCTCGAACGTTTGAACCCGACTAGTCTACTTTCTGACGTAGAGGTCTTGTCGAGAGCTCGTCATTTTGAGGAGGAGCTCTCAATTACAGCGAGCGAGGCGGTGCATGAAATGTGCTCGCGTCTGCGGTGTACTGCCAACTTCATGGTCTGGAATACTTGTACTCAGGGTGCCCCATAAGGTCGGCTTGGGGAGGCCGGGTCACCAATCAGAATTTCCGCACGCGTCACAAACCACCCGGAGAGGTCGCCCTCGGCACGCACGACATACCGGATCCCCGCGTACAGTATCCGGAGCCAGTCCAGCGAAACCCATGCCACTTAGCTTGGCTTACGGGGTGGCCTGGTCGACAGAAGGGAAGGCATCCAGACAAGTCGACAAAGGCAGCAAAGAGTGGGTGGCGTGAGGCTTGAGCCTTCTCAATTGCACAACACAGCGTGGATACCACATTATTATTAGTGCGACAACCAGCTCGAAAACCATTCTGAGAACTAGGTATGCACCCTTCTGTTTCAGCCCATGCGTGTACGCAGCACTCAATCATCATCGTGAGTGCCTTCAGCAAAAAGCTCTCCAATCTGGCCACGCAGTAGTTTGCGGGCAACTTGAGGTCCCTGCCCCTCTTCCCAATGGCCGTGAGTAGGGCCGTGGCTCTTGGTGTGTCTAGCGTATCAACACACTGCTGGAACAGGTCACGCAGCTCCTCATCGGGCAGCAGTACCATCGCCTGATAGGACACCCCATCATTACCCACCGCTGACGCTCGCCTGTCAGCGAGCAGAGTTTTCACATCGGGTATCTACTCTCCCACAGGAGACTGAATCCGACCGACTATGACGTTCTATCCTCCTCCTTCCGTCTGGCAAAGTTTGGCAAGCGTCGACTAGCGCATGCTGCGTCCTGCCAACCTAACTTATGCCCCATGTATTCGGCAACTGCAACCCGAATAGATCGATCTAGTCGGGTTGCACTCGAAGTTTGCTATGAAACCTATCACTTTGCCCGAGATGTGGAAGAACAGTGATCCGCGAATGTGATGTGTGCAATTGAACGTCCATCAATAGACTTCGGAAGTCGACATATACAATTTACCCTAGCCCAAGCATTTGTAGGCTAGGTAAAACTTAGCTGTATGGTGAATACGGGACAGTGCCAAGGGTTCCGTACGTTCGAACGCTCAAGACATCGACGTCTCTGGAGCACACAGGTCATGTGAACGTGTCAGGATCAACTCGCGAAGTGCCAGGTCAGAGGTAACGCCATCATTCGCGCCCATACTAATAGGCTGCTAGTATGTGCCAAGCGGCTCGGAGCCGGGTCGGGCACAGCAAGCTTAAGTCTGCAACAAGACTTTCTGACCGTCAATCTACCGTCACAAGGCTGGATATCTCTCTATCTAAGTACTGCACCAGACGTGTTTCGACACGCTTGGGAACACCCAGTTATATATCAACCCAGCCCAAACATAGTGTAGAACGACTTCTACCCCCTCTCTCTGCTCATCCTCCCAGCATGGCGCCCGAGTCCATCTCGGATATGCACGCAATGGTAGCAAAGTACAGCGTGAATCTCCCAGTTCGTCCACAGACTTCTGTGGGGCGCCATATGGGTGACGTTGTACTCGTCACGGGCACGACGGGAAGCCTGGGGTGCTACCTCCTAGAAGCACTCGCCGCCGAGCCAGAGGTCGTCCGGGTGTACGCGCTGAACCGAGCATCGAGGGACGGCGTCTCGCTTCGAGCCAGACAGCGCGCAGCGCTGGATGAACGCGGGGTTGATGCGAGCATATTGGGGCAGGAAAAGGTCGTATTGTTAGAGGGAGATCTGACCAAACCGGAGTGGGGATTGGCACCAAACGTCTACGAAGAGGTTCTAATTTGCATATTGTATCGCTGGTGAACGTGGTTGCTTACAATGGGTGACGGCAGCTGCACAAGACTGTGACCCACATCATACATAACGGTATGCCCGTTCGATCACAGAAACCAAAAATTACTCACTTGGCCTCTGCAGCCTGGCGCGTCAACCTCCTCGCACACCTCCCGAAGTTTGAGGCCAATGTCAAGGGACTTCGAAGCCTCATCGACTTTGCACTGACCTCGCCCCAGCCATCTCCGGCACACCTCCTTTTCGTCAGCTCCATCAGCGTCCTGTTTGGTGTGTATCTCACCCCCGCATCTGCACCCGTGTCCCGCTCACCGCATCCCAGACGCCCCGCTCGACGGGAAAGTCTACGAAGGCGCCGTCCCGCCTGCGTACGCCGCCAGCGCAGGGTACGGCGCGTCGAAATGGGTGGCCGAAGAGATCCTGTACGCCGCAGCGCGCACGACCCCGCTCGCCCCGCTCGTCGCACGCGTCGGCGTGATCTGCGGCGGCCCCAGCGGCTCATGGAGCACGGACGACTGGGTCCCCGCGCTCGCGCAGAGCGCACGGCCGCTCGGATGCTTCCCGGACGACCCCAAGGTGCGCGCCGCCATCCCGCCGGGCTCTTGTCCCGTTCGCTGATCCGGCACCCCACCACTCCCCTTCCCTTCCCTTCCCCTAGGCAGTCGACTGGATCCCGTTCGACATCGCGGCGCGCGCGCTCGTCGAGCTGCGCGGCGTGTCGAACGCGGCGCACACCGCGCACGTCGTGCACACCCGCCCGGTGCCCTGGTCCACGCTCGCCGCGGCCGCGGCCTCCGTGTTCGCCACGCCGCTCGTCCCCAGCACGCGCTGGCTCGCCGTGCTGGAGGCGCACGCACGGCGCACGGCCCCGGCGCCGCGGCTCATGGCTGCGCATCTGCTGCCGTTCTTCGAGCGGCAGATACGGCGCGCGGAGAGGAGCGCGCTGGCGTTTGGGCTGCGGGACATGGACACGGCGCGGGCGCGCGAGGGCTCGCCGACGCTGGCGGACCCCGCGCTGCGCCAGGTGGGTGCGGAGGACGTGCGGAGATGGATCGTGTATTGGGAGAAGGTGGGTCTTTGGGACAATGTGGAGCAGGGGGAACAGACCTTGTCTGCTCGGCTGTAAACATATTTGTTAGCTACGTACTTATGGCATTTTATCAAGTTATTGTTCTTCGAAAAAGGCGCGCAAAGAACAGCTGGCGCCCGCCATTATACGTAAAATTTAATGAACTCATTGAGGAGTTTGGATCGGCGATCGCTGGCAATGTAAATCACGGAATTGACAGCTCTTCGAAGGAACATAACAAGCGAAGGAACCAATAAAGCGCATGCATACAATGCGGAAACTTGAATACAATTGAATGTCACTTGATACAAGCAGCCATTGCTGTTCCTTTTCCTTTTCATGCTCCTATTCTCATACACCACACGTTTCATCCTTCTTCTCGTACATCGCCCACCCAAGTTAGTCCGACACTAGCAGCTCAGAGCTTGGAGCCGCCGACGGCCTCCTTGTAGCGCGTCTCAGCCTCATCGAAGTTGATGACGTTCCAGATCGCGTTGAGGTACTGTGATCAAATGATCGATGAGCGATCGTGGTCGATATGGGCAGGTACGCGGAGGACTTACGTCGACCTTCACGTTGAGGTATTGGAGATAGAAAGCATGCTCCCAGACGTCGACGCCAATGACGGGAACGTGGCTCAGCAGTGGGTCTTGGTTTGCCGTGGTCACGATCTCGAGACGCTTGGTCTGTGGGTGGACACCCTGAAATCGGTGCAGATGTTGTGTCAGCATCGCATACATCCGACGAAAACGCGGGTACTCACGAGCCAGCCCCATCCGGAACCCTGGATGCCCGCGGTCGTAGTGTTGAATTCCTTCTTGAACTGATCGAAGGAGCCGAAGCTCTCCACGATGGCCGTCTTGAGGGGGCCGTCCTTGAGAGCACCGCCGTTGCCCTTCTTCTCAGACGCAGCAGGAGCAAGGTTCTTCCAGAACAGAGAGTGGTTGATGTGGCCTATATGCGGTGCATCTTATCAGTTCCCCTGATTAGACGGAGAGCCCGGATAGGGACACGCACCACCACCGTTGAAGCGGAGAGCAGCCTGGAGGGCGATACGCTCCTTGGGCGAGCTGGTCTTCGCGTACGCCTGTTCTGCCGCGTTGAGGGCGGTTACGTACGTCTGGTGATGCTTCTTGTGGTGAAGCTCCATGATCTGCCTCGAGATGAATGGCTCGAGGGCGTCGTAGGGGTAGGGGAGGTCGGGGAGGGAGTGTTGTCCGGACATGGTCTGTGCTTAGTTCAAGTCGAGCAGTGAGGAGAGTGATTGTCCGGAAGAAGAGACTGGGGCTTGGAGTTTGGCCTGCAGAGGGTATTTATGCCTCTGTTATCGAGACTGGTGATCACCTCATCCCATAAGCAGATGCCGATAGTGACGTAAATAGACGCCCGGATCCCACGAGCACGTGATCGGCCGCCTTCGTACGCCCGCCGCGGCGTCCCCGCGACAAGTCTTCGCGCGACTTTCCGTGTTTCGCTCTCGACTTTCTTTGTTCTCGTCGGTATGCTCATGCTATGGAATGCGTTGTTGATAAAGGGGCGTTCAGATTCACCCCCCTTGCTCGCAAAATTGTTGACAATGGTTGATGCTTCTGGTTTTCTGATCAAACGTGGCTTACTGTAATGCGCATCTATCAGTCTTTTCTGTAGAAAAACTTAGCCTGGGCCCTGGATGCTGCTTGAGCTGTTTACTATGAAACCTGGACTCTGGCGTGCTGAACTACATACCTTCTCCACCCAGACGAAGATTTCTGCTATGATATATTGATCTGCCGAAACCAGATACAGCTAAATAGTTTTCACTGTCGACTGTCCTTCGCTCCTGTACGTGCTATGATACTCATTAGAGATATCGGCAACGGGTTATACTGGCAGTATTTCACCTCCTTGTGGGTCTGACTTTGGAGACGCGATCGCGTGATAAATTCGTTTCCATCGTTGCTGGATATTGTTTTTGGTGAGTTGACTTGAACTGCCGCCAGTGGAGGTCATTCACAGCGATATGACTCCCATTGGCCAGGGAAAGGGATTATATATGAGAGTTTCTCTGTCTGTATCACATTGGATCTCCTTGGTGACCTATCACCGTTGGTATGGTCGGGTGCTATGATCTCTATGCGTCTATTATCGCATTTCTGTGACCGCTGTGCGTTATAATCTCGAGCTTATGTTTTTCCACTTCCGATATATCTACTTCTTTTATTCGTCCCGTCTGGCCGAAATGAATCGTGTATATGTGATGTATTCATTCATGAGTGATGTCAAAGATCTCCTCTGATCTTGCGATTTTCAGCTGCATTGGCTTTGCCCTAGTGTCATGGGATCACCTCAGGTGCAGGCGCGTCGCAGCTGTTGGTGCCGTAGCCTCTGTGTGCAATGTCGTTAGGCTTCGTTTTGACTTGTCGTCAAGGGCAAGTACGAACCGGATCAGGGATGTCCATCTCTTCCCCATTGGGTGACACGACTGATGATCATCGCTCCCTGTGTCCTTTCTCACGTTCTCTATTTCTCCAGAGGATGTCCTTGCTTTTTTGCCCAGCGCATGCTGGCAGACTGTGATGCAGCCTCACACCAATGCCTCATATCCCATCTCCTCTCGGTCCGTGTCATACCCACCGTGCCACGTCGCCGCCGCTAACCCTGCGACTTACCCACTCTCAGACATCATAGCATCTGATTTTGTTACAGATGGACAGTTGAGGCAGAGCAGGGCATATCAAGAAGGCTTGTTCGGCCAGACCTACGTCTACCCACCCCTCATTCGCACTCGCGGCGCCCCTTTTCGTGGTGCCCCAGTCGACCAGCAACTATCACGACTACTACCACCACTCTTTTAGCCATTCTCTCCCTCGTACTGGGCCTTGAGCCCCACAGTCGTTTCAGCTTCGTTTCAGGTATCTCTTCGTATTCGCGACGCCTCAGGCGTCATGCGACTTCTTGGTAGCTTGCTTGTTTCTTTGTTCACCACCTCAGCCACTGCTTCGATCTACGCGAAGCCCACCCCATGTTCAGACGCAACGCCCTCTAGTGTTGTCTCGTGTTTTGGCCGATGTGAGGATGCGGAGCACTTGCAGGGGAACTTTGGGCAACCTTTGGAGAAGCCTATAGGTAAGTCCGTAAGGGTACCCTGGGTACGATCTTTTTGTTTCCCAACGCTTACTCCAACACATAAAGGTAGTGGGGTATATGACTGCTGTTCACATCCTGGCAATGCTGGAGGGTGCGCTCGATCTGTCGACACCGTTTCTCCTTCCCCCTTTGAGCTTCATCATTCCTCCACTCTCGTCCCTGATGGTCGCGAAAGAGCGGCAGTGTCCGCTGATTCATCGATCCTCCGCTATGAGGTGCCGTTTGCTCATAGGCCATGGAGGGCTCGCAGAAGACACAGGGATCTCAGCCTCCATGCAAGGCAGAACGATACGACGGAATCGATTACTGTAGAAGAAATTGGACCGGACACAATTTCTAACGGAGCAACGATCTCCAGTATTTCCACGTTTTATATCATACCTTCCCTAACTTCTTCCGCCGACCCCACTAGTTTTGCAACATCCGCGCCAGTCTCAGATAGTAATCCACAACCATCCTCAACGCCAACAAATGTAGACGGGAGCTCCTCATCCCCTACGATCGCTGGCTCGGCGTCGATTGCCATTATGACAGGGGCCTCGGTGGCGTCCGCAGCATCCGCCCGCACAGGCTCCCCGACGACATCTGCCATGTCCACATTCTCTGTGACTCCAACTCCAACTGACTCACTGGAGACTTATTACTCGCAGCCGTCGCTGCTTACATTGACGTCTGTGCAGACTGGTAGCGCATCCATATCCATGAGTCCTATCAGTGGTACACCGATTCAAGCGGCGTCTTCGGACGCGTTCAGTACATCCACAGAACGTGGACTCTTCGCTGCTCTCGTGCTAGCCTGTACTTTCTTCTGCATCTTGGTGTTGCTTGGAGCACGATGGTTGTACAGGCGCTACACCAGACCACATTATCCACCCACTTCGTTCAGCCCAACTACTCATACGTTCGAAACTAACAGACCATACCAGTATGCATCGCGGGACTCGCGGCACGACTCGGCGTGGTCATCTAACAGGTTGCTTATCATCGCCAGGGATCCGGCTCATCCGTTCAGCCCGTCGACGCCAACCACGGGCAATAGCGGTTCGCCGATATTCAGCTCCCAGCATCTCAGCGACTACCGCGTCGATTCCACCCAACTCCCGCCGCTCACCCCGATCAGCAGGATGAGCATGTCCACGACCGAGGTCTTGGGGTCCAGCTGGCCGGCTGTCCCGACCGAGGCGGAGATGGTCCAGCTGTCGGCACTCACTTCGACGCTGCGCCCTCTGCCAGCCATTCCACGAGGCCGAGACAGTACGACTCGGTCGTCGCTTGCAGCTCTGAGCCACGCGCTGGAGGAGACCTGGGGTACCACCGAGTCGGCCTTCCTCGCGTCGGATCCGTATGGGCGCAGACAGGCCAGGGACGGTGGCGTCTGTATTACCGGCGGACCTGGGGGATCACGCTCAAGGAGCCTGACGGACGGTGTGAGCGAGTCAACGTTGCCCCCAGCGTATGGGACATACTCCGGCGGGAGAGCTTGATGTTGGTGATCGCGCGGTATGCTTGGACTCGCTCCTTTTCAGATTGTTCTGAGTTAGGCGCGAATCATATCTGCATAATTTCACGCGACGAATACCTTACGTCCCACAGCCTGGAGGGACGCTCGTTGTACATTGCCTGGGCTTTGGATTGTGCAGCTGGGAGGCCTGCTCAGGCTCATTCGCTGTTAATTCAATGTTCTTTTTTTTATGTTTAATTATGTAGAATGAGTATATTGATATACTGTTCTTCGTCGGCGAGGACGAGGCTGGGGCTAAATGTTGACGCTCGGGATCTTCGTGTTTTTTTTACCCCATGGGCTTACAGAGTATTCTACAGGCCACAGTTCTTGCTCTCAGATTCGATATTCTGCACTTCTGATCGTGTCATTTACATCTCAAGATCCATCTGATGAAATACTATTTACCGAAACCTAACGATGTCCAGCAGCTCTAGTAGTAGTGGCTCCATGACAAGAGTACCTTCAAAGCGCCTAATCGCAACTTGAATGGTTGAATCCGAGTTTGAAAGAGTGACCCCTAGTGGTTTCTCTACAGAACACACTGCATTCTCCTCAAGTTACCACCTGGCTTCCTTTGTCTCGGTGCATTATGCGCTTTGTCGGTGGCGGACAAGGTCAAGCCTTCGCTTGGTGTGGCTGGCCTCAGAGCCATCATATCGAATTGATTTCCTTTGTCTTCTGTCTGCCGGGGATATAATGCGTTCGCCTACAGTAAGCAAGCAACCCAAACTCTTTTTCTTTCTCTGCTCTCCCTCTGCGAGCAATGCACCGGATCTTCTACATCGCAGAACTCGCTCGCGAAATCTTGATTTACGCATCTCAGCAGAAGAGCTGTGCAAATCGAATTGTTTGCGAATGGCACGCACGTGGAAACGAGTTCTCGTCGTGTTACTCAAGATGTGCTGAGAACCCAAAGAAGAGCCCCACAAAACGGCGTCGTCATCAAGTTTTGCTCGCGGTTGCGCTGTCCTGTCGAGCACTCCACGAAATTTCCCTAGATTTGCTCTGGCGTGTCCTAGACTCAGCCGCTCCACTGCATCGCTTGTTATCCCTCTACTACACGAAGGTAAGCACATCCTGACAAGCATTTGAGGTGTTAATTCATATAGATTTTGTTGTTTCAGGCTGAAGGGAAAGCATCAATTGTGGATTTATTGTCACGATTCCACGCTTACGCGGCTCGCATTCGAGGACTCAGAGCGAGTAATGACATTTTTGATCTTTATCATGCGTACAAGTCTCTACAAACTTACGGAGGCAGAGAAGAGCTTCCAGGTTGGATCCAAAAGTTTGCGTACACTATTCCAACTGCTGCTAATCAATTTTATTAAGGTCAACATATCGTTCTACGTCAGCTTCGTACTCTGTGTTTGGATATGGCTTCCCCAATTAACAGGATGCCATCCGTTGTCAACACCCGCTCACTCCAAAACGTACGGCTGACTATGTCTGAAATCTCAATCGAATGGACGCAAGATGACCTCGACATGTTTCTTGCTGATGTTGCGGTATGTTCAGCGATTCGGAGTGTCGAAATAAACTGGTCTCCCGTTGTGCCCAAGGTGTCTCTCATCGCACAGCTGAGACATCTTGACAAAGCCAGGATCGCGCTCTCCATGCCGGTAGCCGATGGGTTGCCCTTGCTCCGCAAGCTACACACTTCGCAGATGCGAAACATACACCTTCACATCGAGGACCTCGAGCATTGGGAAGACGGCCTGTCTCTGGACTACCGCCGGACTTGTCTGAACAACTCGGTCGAATTAGAATTGAAAGGCAATGTGACGAAATTCCCTCTCGCGCTTGTTCTGGATATATTCTCTTCGAAACCCACGGAGATCCATATGATATGCGACTTTCACCATCCTGATACTAGCAAGACCTCTTGGATCTCCTGCATGCATGTGGATCTCCTTCATGCTACGCTGTCCCACTCCTTGAGTACGCTACGACTGAACATTTCGTGTCACACAGATAATCCATTCGAGATTTCTTCCATTCGTCCGCTCCTTCAGATTGGCTGTATGCGACATCTCAAATTTGAAATCGACGCCCCGTGGTCTCTGTCAGATGCCGATGTTGAGGAGCTTGCATATGCATGGCCTGATATTCAGACGCTCGAGCTCGGGCTGTACCATGACAGCCTCCAGGGCGCGGGTGTTTTGCCGGTAGCTTGTCCGACTCTGCGAGCCCTATCGTCATTGGTCCAGCATTGCCCCAAACTGGGCGAAATCTACCTGCCTCTTCGTGCTTCTCGCTGCCCTTCAGAGGTCCCATACATACCGCAGAGCAAGCACAGATCTGTCGTTTGCCTTACCTTGAGTGGTGGAGAGATGAGGGGAAATGAGGTGGAGGACGTAGCATTTGCGCTGCACCGCCTCTTGCCTGTCGCGCAGCTTGACATAGCGCATGCGTTCAACGGAGACCTATGGGATGCCGTCTGGCAGGAAAAGCTTCGGTTTAAGCTTCATGAGAATGGGTGAGCCCGTCTTGCGCGCAGTTGTTTCTACGATCTTAACTGTTCTGCTTGCAGAGCCAGATTGTCCGGCAAACACAAAGCTCGAGTTCTTACAGGAGTCCGTACTCCAGTACTAGAGTCCGTAGTATATACTTAGGATGGACTCATAGAAAATTTAATAAAAATGACGGCCACTGCTGGCTAGCCTAGGCGCTTACGCGGCAAGGAATAGACAGGGCAGATGCGCGACGCGACGCCGCCACCGCGACTAGGCTCAATCGCGTACTTATCTGGCGTACGCGCACTTCGACGTGTCCCTGTAAGTTCAATCTTATATATGCAAATATGCGCTCTTCGAAACCTGTTTTCCAGTGAAAATATCTGGTGAAGTCGTACATGGGTTCAAAAAGTTCAAGCGCGAAACAGTCTGAGATTGATAGTTCCGACGACGACTTCCCCGAGGTTGCACAGATCGTGGGCGAAGCCCAACGCTCTTCCAGTCTATCTCAAGGAGAGGTCTCAAGTGAAGGAGAGGTAAGTCCTGCCAATCACCTAACGTCGCGTGCTGAATATTCATCTCGGATGGCTCAGGAGAGCGGCGCGGGTGGCACAGAAGCGGAAGAGGAGCTTGATGGAGACGAGTTGGAATCAGATATGGTAAATTGCATGATGTCCATTTTGAATATTGACTGAGCTGTATTTGCTAGCCACGAGCTTCTCAAGCTAGCAAACGCCCCAAACCTTCTCCTTCCATCGCCCCCCAGAAGAGCAAGACAAACATTGCTCGTCCTAAAGGCAGAACCTCGAACAAGTCTTCGAACACGGTATGTACTGAATCACTGCACATATTCTCTAGTATCAGTTCCATACCTTCCTTAGAAGAAATCCCAGTCCAGTCGGCCTCGACCAGTGCCCCGATCTCGACATCAGCCAAGTATGGTTGCCAGCACTCTGTGCGATGAATTAGATGATGATGACCTTTACGCGAAAGAAGCACTAGGAGATTCACAGGAAGCCTCGACGGCACCACAGAAATGCAAATTAATTGATACTGCAGGTTCTGGTAGTCCTGCACCGTCTATCAACGCAAGGTATATTATCTTTTTTCCTCAATTGATTGACCAGCTTTGAATTTGTCTTCCCAGCAGCTTGCAGCAGAAAGCTGGGATGTTTTCAAATGTAATACCCCCACGTGATGGATCCAAGACAAAAGTGCCCCCTGCATCGCAGCCGGTGTATGG